CATGGTAGGGGCGAGGAACCCATCGCATTCGCCAACCAAGCTCGGCCGAGGCGCAAATCCCGCTCGACGGTGCGATGCCCCACCGCCAGGATCGTCGCAATCTCGGCGACCGAGGCGCCGCCGAAATACTTCATCTCGATCGCCCGATGTTTCCGCTCGTCCAGCTTTTCTAAATCCTTGAGAGGTGGGGTCGTCGGAAGATCCGGTGGGAGCATCGGTGGTGTCCAGAGACACTTCTACCCGGTCGCCCCCACGCTTGTCCGCATTGCGACGCCGAGCCCGGTCGACCAATATCTGCCGCATCAGCCGAGCGGAGACCGCGACGAAGTGGGACCTGCCTTCCCAAGACATATCCAGGCCCACCAATTTCATATAGGCCTCATGGACCAAGGCGGTGGTCTGCAAGATCGGCTCTTTGCGCTCATCCCGCATGTAGTGGTGCGCCAAACGCTTCAGCTCGCCGTAGAGCATCGGGGTGACTTGCTCTAAAGCATGCTCATTGCCCGAGCTCCACTTCAGCAAAAGCTGTGTCACCTCTCCCTGCATCGACATTACGGGAGTACTGTTCAGTGATTTTGCATCTTCCGGCAGATCTTTTTCCGGGGCTTGTCCGGCTGGGCGAGTCGACATCGAATCCATGCTCCTTTGATAACCAAGATACCAATCGAGCCCTTTGGCTGCCAAGCTGGGGGGTATCATAGGGTTTATGAGCATTATCGACGCCTGGATGCAGCACCCCAACCCGGAATTCCTCAACCAACCCTATTTCGAGTCTCTCCGCCGATGGATGGGGGATCAAATCGTCCGTGAGCAGATCCCGCCGCAGCAAACCGTCGCCTCGATGGATGCGGCCAATGTGCAGCTCGGCCTGCTCTCCGCCTGGTGGGGACCCCAGGGCCCCATGCTTTCCAACGACTTCGTGGCCGAGGTGGTAGAGCAATTCCCCGATCGCTTCCGAGGGGTCGCCTCGGTCGACCTACGAACCCCGATCGCTTCGATCCACGAGCTGCGCCGGTGCGTCCACGAGCTGGGCTTCAAAGCCTTGCGCATGATCCAATGGCTTTGGGGCGCCCCGCCCACGGATCGCCTGTACTACCCGCTTTTCGCGGAATGCGTGCATCTCGACATCCCGGTTTGTTTGCAAGTCGGCCACACCGGACCCCTGTGTCCCTCCGAG